TTTCAGTTTGATTTGAGTCTAAAAAAGAGAACATGCCAAATTGCTTAGCCTGTGTAATGCAAGTTGTTAAACTAACCACTGGGGTTTTTTGCTTACATGAGGTAGTCCCGATTTGAAATGCTTTCAGATTCAATCGGAGGATTTAATGACTCTTGGCCTTTGTTCTCTTGCAGTTCGGTTTCAGCCTCCTGACAAAATGAATTATAAAAGGATATTGCATATTCACTAATGATTTCCAATGGATGATTACAGCTTTAAATTCAAGTCTCTTTTCCCCCTCTTGACCTATTGTCTCACATCCCGTCTCACTGCTCTGGTAGGGTTCAAAATCAGAATCAGGCACCCGAAAGCACATTACGTTAGAGGTTAAAAAGGCTCAAAAGCCTGCCGATGACACTCTGAGCTGTAAACAGTGAGGAGATAAAGGGATGCAGATCCAGCGGTTATAGAGAAGAAAAGGGGGGAAGAGGCCTGAGCCTTGTCAGGAGGAAACTATAAATGCCTGGGTGTCTGTAGAAGCTGTGAGAACACTGGAACATCATCCCCTGTCACTGCGGTTCTACTGAGGATATCAGAGGATTATTCTCATGTGAGACACAGATGTATCTCTCGAGTAGTTGGGTCGTATTAGACTGCTCGTGTGTTCCTTGGAACTGGTTGTGTGGTGTGTGTGTGTGTGTGTGTGTGTGTATGTGTGTGTGAGAGGCTCCAGAGATTTTAAGATATACTCTGCAAACAATTAGGAGCTGGTAGTGCTTCTCCTGTGGCTGTCTCTAATTAACACTGCAACGAGGCCTTAATTGGGAAGGAGATTTTGTTTTTTTCTGCTGCCTTTCGGTGGCTGTCTCAGCGGTTGTGTGACGAACAGTGAGAACAACAGAGTCCCCTGGCCGCCCTCAGATTAACAGCTTCTATGTCAAGACTACTTAATGTTTGTGTTGTCAAGAGGTTTATCATCACTTAGAGGAGTAGACTCAACAAGTATTCTAGTCAAAATCATCAGGTAAAAGTTTCTTCTACTTCTCCACGCTTAAGAGCCTCGCTATTTGCAAGTAAAAGCTGTCTGATTGGAATTACCATGGCAACAAATGGCTTCTTCATTGAGGCTGGCGTTTAGCGTCGCCAAGTATAGTGCACTCACCTCACCACATAGACCAAAAGTACCTCCTGGAAGTAAAGCAGAGTGAGAGAGCCTAATATGTTTTTTTTTCTGTGCTCTTTTATTGTATTGCCGTGTTCCAGTAAAGGGCCCAGTCACATGGAGCCTCTGAGCTCGTATTCTCACAGTGAGAGCGCCGAGTTTCACTTGATAATGAATGTCTGTGGTGAGAATCCCATTATGGCGCTACTCCATCAAGCCTACAGAAAACACAGGAGCGGCGAGGCAAAGGCATTTAAGGGCCATATCAGTCAACTAGATGAGGGCTACCATGCAAACCAGATCCTCCTTTGTGAACCTCCCTCAGCACACGTCTGAGTGCGTGTGGACAGGGAGATAAATGCATTCACACGCTACAAGAAGCACCCAGCTCTCACATTTGAATGTGTTCATGTCAATGCTTTTTTCGGCAAAAGAAACAGATTGTCAAACAGAGAAAGCTGCACATGCAAAACAACTGGACAGAGGTTGGGATGGAGGTGGGAGGGAAGGGGATGAGTGGAGTGGAGTAGAGAGGGGGGAGGGAGGGGAGGATCAGCACTCACCTCTGAGTAGACTGCTGCTGTAGTTGGAGAAGGAGTCAAAGATGCTGTTGGATGCCATGACAGGGGAAGCCAGAACAGCGTGGAGCAGTTGATCTCCACTGACCTTGGGGAGCAAAAAAAAGGAGGCTTGAAACACAGAAACGAAGTATAAGAGACAGAGAGAAGAGAGAGAAGAAAGGAGAGCAGAGAGGACAAAACTCCTGGAGCTCAGAGCCCGTTTGCAACCAAGAATCTAGGGTTTGTGACTACCGCAGGAATCCCAAGCCACAAGCCTGCAGAGAGAGCAGCAGCATGTGTTAGCAGCAGCACCAGGAGACGTTTGAGAGAGAAGTGGAGAGAAGAGGGTCAGAAAGAAGAGAAGAAACAGAAAGAGGAGGCAGTTGAGGGAGAAGCTATTGAAACAGAAGCAACAGCAGCATTTGTGTCTCCAGGTGTCGAGTTGGACTCACCAGGGCTGGAGATGAGAGGGGGCCCACCTAACGGAGCTTGGATGGTGGAAAGGGGCCGCTGGAGAGGGCTGGGTTTGTGGTCCTCTGTCACGCAGGGGTCTGAGGGTCTGAGGTTAGCCAGCTAGCCTGATAGCGTGGTCTGTCTTTCTCTTTCTCTCCCACGATGGTGGTGGCCTGACTAAAGCGTCAGTGCTAGTAAGAGGCTAAAAAGCCACAGTGTATCTGCATCCTCCTCGCCATCCTCCACACAGAGAGACACACACTCCTCTCCGTGAGTGGTGGAGCCCACGTCACATGTCACGTGAGGTCACCGGGCCTCTCCCTCCCACCCTCTAACCCTCCTTCCCCTCCCTCCCTTCTTCTTCTCCTATCGTCTTTGCTTTTTCTCTGGTTTGTGTGCTTCATTTTTTTTACTTTCCATCCGTCTCCTTCTCTGACTCGCAGTCTTCACTCTCACTTTTCATTGGTCGTCCAAGTTTTGGAAACATTCTATTTTCTTTTGAGTTCAAACCAGGCAGCGGCCTGCACCACTCTGGCTCACTGAGGTTTATAAAGAGCACTGAAATCGCTGCAGAAGAGTTGGAGAGGCATTAAAATTTATTAAGCCCAACAAAAACACAAGAGACAGAGAAACAACAGGAGCAGATTAGATGAAGTGAAAGAGAAAGAAGAGATAACTGTGGCCTCTAGGAGACAGGAACGTGTCAGTGTCTGCTGAGCACTCAGTGTGCTGTACTTGACTGTGTATGTATGTCCTGTGCTAGTTTTGTGTTTGTCTGACTCACGGCACATCTGTGTTTGTAAGAACCGGTGGTTTTGGGCCTGCAAAACCTCCACCCTCACTTACCACTTGATAGTATCATAATCTTAGCCTCATTAGAAGCACTGCTGCCAGTTTAACTCTACCCATTCTCCCGTTTCAATATCTTTCAGGTTATATCCTCCATCCCTCATTTACAGTTTTTCTTTCTCTGGCACTCTGTCTCAATCTTTTTTATATATGTTAACACGCCCCCTAACACATTTATTTCAGTTCAAGTTCACTTGGGTTTGATCAAAAACATTTACTTTTATAATACATTTGTGATTTTTACCTGAGCTTCTTTTTGCAGTATGAAAAAGCTTGAGAATTTGTGGCTAAGTGCAGTCTCTTTCCCCCTGAAAGTGCATAACGATTTAACCTGGTTGTGGTTTTCACACTTTTACATTTTCTGGGTTCATTTTCTACCTGTACAGTAGCAGCCTGATACCAGTGTTCCCTTTTCTATTTTTGTAGTTTTTATGCTATTTTATTTGAAAGTTTGTTCAGCAGTTGTGAGAAAAACAGGAAATGATTTATATTGCTTCATATTCACACAGAAATTAACTGACGAACGGAGTGATAAATGTGCTATAAGAGAGAGACTGCTGTAGTGCTGTTAACCTGACAAACTTGCAGTACTACATGAATATGTGTGTGTTTCTGCCTGTTTGTGTGTGTGCGAGTGCACAAATCACTGGCATTTGCAAACCTGTGGTATCTGCACTTCCTCTCTCCTTTCTCCTGTTTCTCAGTGACACACTGACCATGTCTGGCCATGGGACAACAGACCCAAACCACCGTCTGGTCACTCATGTGACCCAATTGCTTTCCCTCGAAACCTGTGCGTATGAGTGTGTGTGTGTGTGTATGTAGCTGTGTGCATGTTTCTGTTCTGTGTCTGTCTCACACTTCTTTGTGTATGAATGTCAACCCACGTTGTCCTCTGCTAATTGCCGGACAAAACTGCTGCATGGACCACAGCATGTGTTTGTATGTGTATATACAGTACCACCATGTTCTGAGAGAGAGTGTGTGTGAGAGAGAGAGAGAGAGAGAGAGAGCTTGCCGCTCTTCCTGGTAGCCCGCACTGCCCTGTAAATGAGCAGTTGCCGTTGAGTTAGGCGGCAGCGCGGGCTAAATGACACGGCGTGTCGGCAAGTGTGGCCGAACGCTGAGGCCACAGCCGCGGCCCCAGGGCTTTTATCAGTCCGTCCACGCGGCCACTACAGGCCTCCGACTTAACCTCACACACAGCGAGGCTTCCTCTTCTAACACCTCTGCTGCCTCCCGACATGGCCTCGGCCCCGGCCTGCCAGCATAGGGACAGATTACAGCTCTCTCTGCTGAACAAGAGGTACTGCTGTCACACAGGCCCACAGGGAAACACTGCTCTGTGCAAGGCCAGGGGCATGATGGTTGAGGCAGAGATTCTTTAGCTAAAGTTTTACGTTTTTGTGCTTTTTCTCATGTGCCTCTGCTGGGTTGTGGTCTGTACAAGTTTATATTTGTTTAGAAATGGGGATGCACAAGTACTAGTTTTGCAGGGGCCTGTGGTTGTTTCAGTTTATAATCATTTTATGTGCATGTATTTGTGCAAGTGAGACATGTTGCTGGTAATAATTCATGTTGTTTTGTTTTTCAGATTTAAGTGTGTAATATATTTTTCTGCTAGCTGTTTTCACAAGGAGACTGTTTCAGATTATTGTCAGTTTCCTTATTTTTGTCCATTTTGTGGTAAGAAACGTTGCCTCTGGATTTTCAATGAGGAATAGAGAAAAGCAAAACAAATATAGGACCATCCCACAGCATTGTGCAAGAATGGGAATTGGCTCCATTGTAGTGTAGTCCAAACTGAAGAAAGCGCTGGAGTCAAGGCCTTTTTCTCCGTCCTCGGACCGCTCTGTGTTTTTTCTTCTTTGTCTAGGTAAACATCTGCTTCATGTTTTGAAATGTATCTCAGGGCTTTGCGCTGCCCATGACCGTGAGGGGAAAATAGTCTGAAGATCATTGTGGCCGTCTTTCACTCAATTCTTTTTTTCCCCTGCCCAGGCCTTGTTTATCAAGCCCCTGTATTTAAGCTTAATATAACTCCTGTTTTGCTGAGAAAACTGTGGTGGTTTAATCACTGTCAGTGGTCCTACGCCTCTCGGGTGTGGCTCGTGAGGCAAAAAGGACCCAGTGCGGTCGTGCGTCCAGCTGCAAAGGGGCTTATTTTGTGGTCTAAAAATTGCAGGCTTCCCCATATGTTCCCTATAAACGTGGAATGCAGCGTGGGACTTGAGGAGGCTTTTATAATGAAGTGGCCGTCATTGCATCAAACACCATGGTCCTGCCTGCCTCTAGGATAGGCCTTGGGAGCTCGTTTTTGGGCTGCATACACAGGTCCAATGTCCTACCAGCTCACTCACACCTCATACTGGCCATTTTCTTCTAATTATATTACACTGCTCATTCCATTGACTGATGTTCCTGTCCACTTTTAGTATAGCACACCCACATTCTATCCTTATGATTTATAACACTGCACAGATTTGAGATACAAACAGATTGAAAGAAAGTCCCCACTGACTTTGCATGGAATTTTTTTACATATAACTCACCAGAGAGATTTCTTCTGAACGCTTTCAAGCTAATTGTCAGTATTATTAGAAGAACCCCAAAAGAGGAAATTTGCACAAGACAGTAAGAAATGAAAATATAAAACATGTAAAAATTCCTAACTCGTATGTCGGGGTTACAGTTTTAGATAACTGCGTAGTATTTTTTTATTATCTAAAGAGATCTAGAAAGTTCGGCCTTGTATGGAAAATTTTGGATTAACTGAATCAGCGGTCAGCAGGGGGTTACAATTAACCCTGTGTTGTGGTGTTGGTGTGTGTGGGTGTAGCTGTGTGTGTGTGTTTGTCTGTCTGTCTGTCTGTCTGTCTTCACGTGTATGTCTATATGTGTGTGTCTGTGCTGCTGTTGTCGTTGTAAGCAAGGCACTCCCAGATGCAGTGGTTTTAGCGTGCAGTATCACGGTTGGAAGTGATCACCAGGCCCATTATTTATTTATTGGCTCCAGCAGACATGGAGACTTGACTGTGGTAACCACACAGAGAGGAGGGGAGTGTGCCGTGTCGCCACACACTGAGAAGGCCGTATACCCAGAGTTCCTTTGGAGCGCTACATGTGTACAGTAACCTGTGGCAGAAGCAAGACAACAGAAAAACAGTCTGCGATGGGCCGTAACAGTAGGAGAGCACTGTAGCTGCAACGTGGATATTTATGGAGAAAGTCTACACGGCAGAGATCACTGTCAGGAACAATGATCGGAGATAAGCTGTGTGAGGACAGATAAGATTGAAGATCATGAAGTGCACAACATTGTGACAGCTGCCGGATGAGGGATTTAGCTGTCTTTCTTCATTGCAATGTTGTATCCCTGGCACCTGCTGCAAGCTCTTTAAGACAAATTTACCATGTTTACAGGTAGTAAAGCCTCCATACCCCCTTCACCAGAGCTCTTCCTGTTATTCAGAAACTGTGCCAGCACAAAGACCAAGCATCCAGTTTCCTTTACAGTAGCTTGATTCAAGCCCCGCACAACCACTGGCAATGAGCTGTAGAGGCTTTTTCGACAATTTATGGCTGTCAAATAGTTCCTCCTGTGTACCTTATGAAACACAGTACAAAATAAATAGATTTTGTCACATCATATCACTCTTCACTCATAATCATTTAAATATTTACATTAAGGTATTCAAAGATGAACAGGTTAAGTCATCTATGCTTTTCTTTATCAGAATTTTGTGGTATATATAATAATCATATATATTTAAATATTTCTCTATTAATAGTCGTTACAGTAGATATACATAACAGTGGGACAGAAGAAGTAAGTCTCAATGTTTTTTAAAGGAGAATTATATGAGCTGGAAAAACTGATAAATATAAAATAAAAGTTCTCTTAACTAAATATCTTAAGGCAGCCAGCGTCAAGACTGTTCAGCAAGTTCAGCAGTTCAACTTCTATTTATTCCAAGTGAACCTAGTACATAGTGCATTTATTTATCATCTCATCTCATAAATGTTGGTTATTCTTAGCAACACAACACATAGTTTGTCTACTAATAGACAGGTGATTTATGTCTGTCTTTAGAAAAGTATCAAATTGACTCGTGAATCCATTGAGTAGCTTTAGTAATCTGGGATTTACTTCTATTCCCTGCTTTATCTGTTTTTTTAGATATAACAAAATGCTGCTTTCAAGTACTGGTGATAAGATATAACATATGTGACACTTTGGCTGCTAAATGTGCATCGCATTCTGTTGTGCATCGCTATTATTTTGAAAATCGAATCAGGAAGATGATTGATAAAACAAACTCTGCACTCTACTGAGCGTCTTCTA